TTTTTTTTAAGTCTATTGGAATGGTCAAAATATTCCAGAGGTTTATTTTTTGAATGTTAAACAAAAAAATTTTCCCCACCCGGACATTCTCGTATAGCTTGCAACTATTTCATAGAAGGCAACTGGAGCACTTTAAAATTATATGAGTTTTACCGTTTATACCTTTCACTTTTTCTTTCTCTCCTCCAGTTTTTGTTAGGTTGTATTTTACCTTTTTAAATGCTATCGTTTGGAAAATCTTTCCAATGTTTTCCATTGTGATCTGCCTATTTAGCTTTTTCTGCCTCTTTGGAATTTCAATTTGGTAAATTATGTTTTGCTAGGAAGACATGCATTTCTCCTCGTTTTTCTAATTTATTGCCATAATGCTGTCATTTTAATACGTACCACCTTTCGTGTTTGAAAAGGGCTTCCATGATCAAAGAACTGGTTCTTCTTTCGGGGGCTGAATTGTTTCTTTCTGGATTGAGGTGCTATTGGTGGATAAACTAGTAAATTCCTGTCCCTCTGCTTAGTTAGGCTTAAGGATATGACAAAGAGCAATTTGGCCCCACAGTATCTTGAGGTCCACTGAAGGACCCCACTGGAAAGCCCCTCTGTAGGCCCACACAGCAGATATGAGTTTATAAATGCAGATCCCATATACCGTATCCATGTGCTGATCCTTGCTTTGTGGTTACTCTGTGTGGTTACCCTGTATAAGTTACCCTCTAGATTTTAGCAGCTTGCCTCTCTGTTTTCACCGTGGAGAACAAACATCTACGCTGGCTGTCTTGCCTCGAGATCCCCAGTTAACTCATAGAATCAGAGGGATCTTCCATTTTTCTGTGTAGCCCAGAGCAGAAAATATGACAGAAGGGAATCTGGAACGTATATTCCAGCCACTGCCTCTTCAGAGTTACTTCTGATCTCCCTACAACTTACTTTGGCTATGGTGTTAAGTATAAGTTAATGTATATATGTTAATACATATAACTAAATATAATTACAGAACTACAGAAATAACCTAAATGTACAATAAAGGGTAATAACTACATATACATACCATCACAGTGCATACTCATATGTTGGGATAGTAAGAATCTATCCAAAATATAAAATAGAAAAATACTGATTGTACATTGTCAAATGAAGAAAGCAGGATATAACGCTGCATATATATTCCATCAATGTATATATAAATGTATACAATAAAAAAAGATCCAGAAGGAAATGATCAAAACACTGGTATTTAGCCTAATTATAGATTTCTGACTCCTACACATTTTTCCATATTTTCTAAACTTTCTAGCATAAACATGTATTGCTTTCAAAAACATAAGAAATGAAATATGATTAAAGGACTGAAAAAGAATTTAAGTAGCCATAAATGCCTAAATCCTTATGTTTGTTACAATTATTTTCTAAATGACGTATCTATTTTCTTGCATGCTGGATATTATTTATTTGAAATACATTATGAAGAGTTGAGTGAAAAGAGTTAATTTTCCCAATTAGTAATTTCTGTGCTCACTGCAGCAATCTGGACCACAGACACTAATGCAGAAAGAAAATGGCCCATGGCATCTAGTGACATCTGCAAACATGAATTCGGTGGAAAACTCCCAAAGTTAAATAAATATTTGTGTTTATGCTGCCAATCCTATGACATGACAGGACACTGTGATAAGATTGATAAATTAATTAAGCATATAGAAAAATATTTTTTAGAATCAAAGTATTACCTAAATAGGAACTAACCATTTGTTAATTCCTACAAAATGTTTATCAAATTTTACTTAACATACAGATCTCTAGAAAGAGGGAAAGTATTAATACAAAACCTAATCGAAATTTTTAAAAGAAACATTATAGTGCTTGTATTATACTTTTCCTAACCCAAATATTGACCTTGTTAAGAATATATTTTACATTGTCCTCTTACCTTTTCCTCATCTAATAACACTGCTATCAAAATCCAGCTTGAGGGGCCGGCCCGGTGGCGCACTGCGCTAGTGCGCCGCTTGGGAAGCGCGGCGGCGCT